TGAACTTAGCTGTGATTTTCACATTTGGGACCAAACACAAGTCGTGAGCATTTTTCCTGAATAAGTTTTTCTTTTCAAGTGCTCTAATTTCCCTCTACATTTCTTGGAATTTGTCTTGGAACTCATCCATCCTATCAAAGATGCGTAAACTTTTAGCAGGCTCAGCATGATAAATGAGTTCATTTGTATATGGAATACTGTGAACCACGGAAGTAGCAGTAGTCATTACAGGCTAAGGGAAAGATACCATAGGTTGGATCACGGGTTGCACAATAGTCATCTCAGGTTGAGGAAAAGATACAATAGGTTGAATCATGGGTTGCACGGTAGGCTAGTACCCTTCTGGCGCGAAATTGTAAGGCATACCCAATGGAAAACCTTTTGGCATTTGATGTTGCGGAGGGCTGACTTGAGCCAAAGAGGCTGGAGCAGTGACGACCTCGGAAACTACATTAGTTTGAGCCTGAGCTTTAGAGGCCGAAGTCGATGGTTGATTCTAAGCAGCCATCAAGCTTTCCACCAAAGCGGCCAATTTTTCCATTCCAGTACAGAGAGTAGTAACCTCCTTGCGAAGCTCATGATTTTCTTGCTCTAGATCTTCCATTCTCTTTCGACGATTGACTCAAGTATTATAATGGTGAAACATCTTGATGATCTATCAGAGTGGAAAAAGAAGCAATAATAAGAATCTAGAAAACAAGTAAAATTGAATGTTGAATGATACATGATATGCGACTCAAATGATTATTTATTTTTGATAGTTTTTCAAGGAACTTTAAAACCTTGATAATTTGAAAACATCAATGGTAAAGAACTTTGGAACAACAAAACTTATTTCATTAATAAAAGGCAGGATATTACAACTTTGGAACATAAAAGCCCTTTAAAGAGATTTATAAAATGGCATAAGTAATAAAAGCTAGGGACTATGATCATTCAGAGTCATCATTGGACGAAGGACCAAATGCTATTTGTAACTTGAGCTTCCTAATCTTATTTTCATATAATTCTTCTATCTCTGTCTTTTCGGCTATCAGCTGATCAACAAATTTCTTCCATGGATTAGAAACAGTAGTGACGTTTATCAAATCTTCCTTCTTTCTCTTATTTTCCTTAGCATATTTCTTGAGCAATGCATATTTCTGATGAAGCTTATCATCACGATCAATAAACCAAACATCTTGAATAAATAACATATCCTCCTTCTCCTTCAACTGTCTAGTCAAGACCCTATTTTCGTATTATGATATACTATGTTTTTCCTTCCAAGCATCTCTTTCAGACTCCATTCTAGCCAGATTTTCCTTATACTCTTTCATGTTATCTATAGGAATGGCAGTAGATGATGGTGTAGCAATAGGGAATAAAGGTTTCTCGGGATAATAAGGCATCTTGAGAGCACAAGCCCTAGTACGAACCCATTAAACGTAAGGCTCCAAAGAAACAACACCTCTCTACCCTAATATGTCTCTTCCCTTTCTATGGACATGGCGCTAAGCCCTTTCAATATACTCCTTAGCTTCTTTGTGATCCTTTCCTTCTTGGAGAAAGAAACCACTCAGATGAACGTTGTTTGGCTTGTCTTTCATTGGGTATCGAAACTGGAGGCGCGCAAGAACAAGATTATAGTTAATTCCTCCCTTCGTTCTAAGAAGAGGCACATTTGGAAAAACACCATAATTATCAATGATTTTCACATCATAATAAGCTTGATCATACAAATCAATGACAGAATGAGTAAGATCCATAATTTTTGGCGCCCATCGTGGCTCCTTCTTGAGATCCCAAAAAACATCAAGACTCGAGTAAGTGGGAAACATACCACCGGTATAGCAATGGTGTACAACAGACAATCATCCCACCTTGGTAGGAATTACTAAGATGGATGGAATAGAAGGTATCTCCTATAAGTGTAGGGACTGGATTTCCAATCAAAAAGATTCTAATGGCGTTGACATCCACGAACTTATCGATGTTAGGGAACAAGAACAACTCATAGGAAAGAAAGTAAAGACAGCTTCAAAGGAAGAAATATCGTTTATTTCGGCAAAGTTACGAGATTTATTCAATAAAAACAGTGCAGGTAAGCCTCATATTCCTCCCTTGGTAGTCATGTTATCTTCTATCTCAGACTTCCTCAAGTGGGTAACTGTGGATATCTCATGAGACTTGGGTTCCCCTTCTAATTAAAAGAAAGGAACATAGTCGGTGATTGGTAAACCAAGTATATAAGAATACTCTTCCAAAGTAAACATCAACTGATAATCAGGAAAAGTGAAGCATCAATACAAAGGATCATAGAACTGGATCAATGTAGTAAGGATACCCTCCTTCATCTTGCGCTTCATAAGAGGAATAATAGATTTATACTTCTTTAGGAAATCCTTAAGGTTCTCAATCTTGGGAATCAAACTCTTAAACTCTTCAATCTTAGGATCCTTGAAACTCTAACTCCAAGTGTTCCTTTTTCCAAAATCCATGGTAAAAAGTACCTGAGATGTCTGCAAAAATCATTCTTAAGTTCCTTGAAAAACATGTTTAAACTCTACCATTAATTGTTGAGATTTGTATTCTAATGAATGGTAGTCTCGCCATTATGGGAGATAATTCATCGTTTAAATTTGTTACTCCAACGAATGGTAGTCTCGTCATTATGGGGATAATTAGTTGTTGAGTTTGGTTGTACTTCAATGATAAAGACAGTTCGTTGAAAGATTCTTACAACAACATATTTACCCTTTCCAGGTGAAATATCTTGGTTAAAGAAGAAACTGAGACCAGGTCATGGCTTATGGTCAGGATCAAGGGGAGGTTTATCTGATTCTCCATTAAATGGTATCTCTTCGAAGAAGTCTCGCAAGAGAAGTTTGTTGTGAAATGATTGTAAGTTGTAGTCTCTTTATTTGAGATAACTTGTATTTTTACCCTTTCCAGGTGGAATACCTTGGTAAAAGAAGGAGTTGAGACCCGTTCTAGGTGGAATACCAGAACTTTGGGAAACTCGTTATTGTTAACGCAAATTTTAACTTCAGTAAAAGTTGGTGTATCCTTTGTTCTCTACCTTCAGTAAAAGTTGGTATTTTCTCTATATCTCTACCTTCAGTGAAAGACGATAGTTTCACCTTCAATAAACTTTGGTGTATCTTCTGTTTTCTTTACCTTCAATAAAAGTCGGTATTGATTATGTGTTTTTTTTATGTTCATCTTTGAATTGGTAGTTCATTGTCATTCTTAGTCGAGATTTATCTCTTTCTCCTCATTGGACCTTACTCCGATTGATTTGAGTTGTTTCCAGCCATAAGCGCCAACGTCAAATATTTTATTACCAGGCACAAGTAATAATACAAATCACTCATTTACTAGTCTCAATGTTGATGATTATCGTCTTCTCTGAGCCGATATTATTTTATCGTTTCTATTCACACCCTTCGGGTTAGCAGTTGTCAATACCTTGTGAGTTGATGTTACTCTCTTTTTGCTATCTCCTCTATGAGCGGATAGTTCATAGTTATCGGTTAATCATTGTTATCATCAATTATTGAGTGGATGTTATTTTGTCTCCTCTCTGGGCATTACCCAAATAGATTTGAGTCCTCTTTTTCCCCAGCGGAGTTGATTTGTCTCTAACGGATTCAAATTTTTATCCCCAGCGTCGTGTTGTTCTCTAGAGATTTATTTTCCTGGTCAAACTTTTTTCTATTAGTCTGTTGACTTTATTTTTTGCTTCGCCAGTGTGTAGAGTTCACCTGCATGAAGTTTATATTTTACATTCATAATCATGAGCATGGCATGGCATCTTAGGGCCAAAAACAGGGTTTGTTTTATATTTAAGTATCTTCAATCACATCGAGACGAAGATTTTGACCTTCGTATCTTCGGATAGAAGACACTTAAATAAAGGAAGTTGTTATACCCCAATTTTCCCCCCTAAGATCCCTCATCACACTCTATATATCTCATGCATATCATTGATTCCATGGTTATGGGATCAAAGGGGTTTTGGCATTAAGGTTTTTCTCTATGGACTAGGGTCGCTACCTTACTCAAAGTTGATTCAACTGATACTCTCATCATTCTTGGACTGTGAAACTAGGGTTTTAAATCACAAGCATCATAGACGTCTTCCCTGAAAAAATTCCTTAAGATACAAAGTTATCATCATCAAGATTTTTCAAAGAGAAATAATTAGGGTTTCTCCTAAGTGCTTTCTCCATTAGACATTCTTTTTAAGAAGTCTAGAGGATTGAATCAAGGACTTCTTTCTTGTGATGCTATTTGTTAAATGGTTAAGGATTGATTGAAGATTTCATCAAGATGATTCTTGGTGCTTAACATGTGAATCGAGGTAGGATTACTTCTTGAATTTTGATTAAAATTGAAGATTCATATTAAGGGTTCATTGGAGCTGATATGAAGATCCGTTCAAGAAATGTCATTAAGTCCAGATTAATTCAAGAAAATTCGTATAATGGTTTGTATGGAATTCAAAGTTGATGATTCAAATACCATTCAATGTCAATGTGAATTCAATCCCGTTCTATGAGAATTCCTTTTAAGGAGAATTACTTGAAATTTAAAACACTTCACATTCATTCTAATTCCATTCAAATTCCTTTCAAGTGACTATTTTGGTGCAATTTGCCACGTGAATTTACATTTTAAAGATGAAAGACTTGTTCAAGACTTAATTCAAGTATCATCTTAATATTTATTCAAACCCGTCATCGTCCAAATTCACTATCGAATTGTCAAAGATATAATCCCATTTAAGTGTCAAGCCATTCATCATCCATTATTTGAGATGTCAAACTTCATGGTTTATTCTATATTGTAAAATCAAAGAAAATGTCTCGAATTTCAAAAATGAAAATTAGAGGAAGTTTTGTTCATTAATATCCTCAAGTCATTACAAGTTGAAATGCTAAAAGAAAAGAGAGAAGGAATTGCAAGACAAAATCCAAATATCATCCAAGATTACATTCAAGGCGCAATGGAAAATGTTACAAGAAAATTCCAAGCAATACAAAGAAAAAACATATCCACACATGAGCTTGAATTCTATACACTAAGTTTGATTCAAATTGATGCCATTGCCTTGTTTTAATTTGCCAAAATTCTGCCCAAACGTAAACCAAAAAATTAGTTCAGGCACGGACAAAAGCGAGTCACTGTTTGGTTCCTTGTACCCGTCAAAATAAGCACATCATATATCTGATTCTTTGCCTCAATTTAGAACCTAGCCAAGCATACCTTTTCTGAAAAAATAATGGAAAATAGAATAAATTGAAAACTTTGTTGTATGAGGGCTAGAGTTTGCAAATCTTGAAGGAAAACCTGTCCAAACTGAATACAAGTCCTGCGTTACAAAAGTGTACATGTTCAATTTGAAAATTCAACAATACAAAGAGATGAAAACCGATTAAATCAGAAAAAACTGAAGAAAGCCGAAACTGAAAAGAGTACGATGAGAAAATGGAAGGCTTAAATTGAATTCAGCTTCACAATCCAATTAGAAATAACGTTCCAGCTCAACAAATTTTTAAAAAAAAAGTTCCATAACAAACTCATAACAGAAAGTAACAAATTCCTAACTGTCATAACATAAATCTAGTGTAGCCACTAATCAAAATCGCTAACTGCCTATAACAGAATCATATAGAATTTCCCTTGTTTTGATAACAATTTTCTAAGAGAAAAAGAAGGAGAGGATTCATAACAGAATTGGACTAATTTATAGCAGATTTTATAACACAAATGAGAGAGGGGGGATTCATGAAAAAAACAGAAAAAGTGACATAACTCTGTTAGATCCGGATTTGAAAAAATGGCACAAAGGAAAACTATCCGGACGAGTCGCGTACTAGGTCACTTTCTTTAAGAGGTTTCATCATACTGCCAATAGTAATGCAAAGCAGTCGAGTTTCGACGACGCCTCCAGGATAAAATAGCCCGTTCAAAGTACGATAATTACTTGCACTGTAATTAGTCGTTCGTAAAATGACACCTTCGGATGGTAGTTAACTAGTCGTAGTATCTGGATAGATCCATTCGAAATAAACAGAGAAGAGAAGTTGTAGATGAAGCGAGTAGAGAGAGAAAAGAGAGAATTTTAGTAGTAAATTCTGGAATATCTCAAATGAACCGAAACAATTCAATTTATAAGCAAAAAGTCCAACTGAATTAAATAAGTCTAGTGGGAGAAAATCGTAGGTGAAGGTGGAATTGGCCCAGTCAAAGATGGCTGTTATTTTACTTGGTCAGCAAGTCACTCAGACTCTTGGAGGGCAAGAAAAAACAAGTCAATAATTAGGTTAAGACTTGGTCTTTGTGCAGGACACATCACCATTTCTTAATTAATTAATTAATAATATTAATATTAATTAATTCGGGTTCCAATAAATTAATTCATCTAGACCGGACCGGATTGAACCGAACCGAGTCGAGCCGGTCAGACAGACGGCGGTGGCGGCGCGTGCGCGTGTGTGTCTAGATGACTTATGGGTGTGTCCTCACTCCTTTACAAAATTGGGGTGCCCCTTAGGGCCCAACACAATTGGCCAAGTTGGAATATATATACACTACTAATATTTATAATCCCTCCTATGTGGGACTAAAATGAATCTTTTCAAATTCACTTTCATACTAGTTCTTACTTGTGCTCATTTATTGTCCATTTAATGTCAATAAAACATTCCAATTCCCACTCCAAATTTACATCATACCAAGATTTCCAACAATCCCCACTTGAATTTAAAAAGGTGATTTTAGAAGTACGTCAAACGTTTCTAATATTATGCGTAAGCAAATGTGTCTACGACTTGAACCTTTGCGTAGCAAGTAGGATTCTGATTCAACTAGAGTCACATTATTGTCTTGAACTCTATCTTAGACATCATACCCGCACACAACCTTTTCTTAAGGTGTATTCTAATAGCCCGTGCTTCAATGGCCCTGCACGTATATCCCGGTTTAGTGAAGGCTCTAGGAATCCTTCCTCGTAATTCCATAGGAACTGACCCAAGTTTCACAATCACAAAGGTGAGTCTATCAAGAGTACTCCTGTAGCCTAGGTACTCCCTCATATAGAGTATAGATCTCATTAAGAGCTTTTATTACCTCATCCTCTTATTACTTCAGGATTTATGCTTTATTTGCATGATCATCTCATATTTCTCATAACTTGTTATTACCCATTGAACCTATTTCTTGGGATCTCCAGTCATCCAGGTCAGGTTACCATTATGAGCAACTCATTTCTTTATAGGCATTAGTCCCATCCTTTTGGATGTATTATGGACTTTCTCTCTATCTAATCCTTTCGTCAAAGGATCTGCTAAATTTTCATCAGTGCGTATATGATCCACTCTTACAGCTCCTTTAGAGATACAGTCTCTAACAGTGTTGTGCTTCCTTCTTATTTTACGTCTTTTACCATTATAATAACGGTTCTCAATTTTTGCAATAGACGCGGTACTATCGTCGTGGATCAACACAGTTGGCATAGGTTTTTCCCATAAAGGGATCTCAGCTAGCAAGCATCTCAACCAACTTGCTTCTTCATTAGCTGTGGCTAGTGCTATCATCTCAAATTCCATTGTGGACTGAGCTAGAATAGTTTGTTTCTTTGATTTCCAAGATACAACTCCTCCAGCTATGCTAAACATATAGCCACTAGTAGCTTTGAAATCATCTGACAAAGTATTCCAATCTGCATCACTGTACCATTCTAGTACAACAGGAAACTTCTGATAATGTAGGCCGAGATCCATGGTCCTTTTGTGGTACCTCATGACTCGTTCAATAGCTTTCCATTGTTTTTTACTCGGTCTACTCGTAAACCTGCATAACAATCCTACGACATATGCAATATCGGGTCTAGTACAATCAGTGGCATACCTAAGACTGCCAATGATGCTCGCATATTCTGATTGTCTGACACTTTCTCTAGAGTTCTTAAATAGTTTCACACTTGGATCATATGGTGTGCATGCAGGTTTACATTCAAAGTAATTATATTTCTTTAAGATCTTCTCCATATAATGTGATTGATCCAAAGAAATTCCTTGTTCGGATCTCGTGATCTTGATACCAAGGATCACATTTGCTTCTCCGAGATCTTTCATATCAAAGTTGTTGCACAAAAGTGATTTCACATCATTAATGGTCTGAATGTTTAATCCAAATATGAGTAGATCGTCTACATAAAGACATATGATAGTGCATATGCGATTCTTAGATTTATAGTAAACGCATTTGTCACTTTCATTCACTTTGTTCCCACTTGATATCATTAAGTTATCAAATTTTTCATGCCATTGCTTAGGAGCTTGTTTTAGTCCATATAAAGACTTATTTAACTTACAGACCTTGTTTTCTTGTCCATAGATTACAAACCCTTCCGGTTGTTCCATATAGATTTCTTCTTCTAAGTCACCATTTAAAAAGGATGTTTTAACATCCATTTGGTGTACTATTAAGTTATAAATAGCAACTATTGAAATAAGTACCCTAATGGATGTAATTCTAGTGACAGGAGAAAAGGTGTTGAAGAAATCTATATTTTCTCTTTGTCTAAAACCCTTGGCAACAAGGCGAGCCTTGTATTTATCAATAGTTCCATCAGGTTTTAGTTTCTATTTCAAAACCCATTTACAACCAATTGGTTTGCAACCAGGAAGCAAGTCTACTAAGTTCCAGGTCTTGTTGGATTCTAGAGATTCTATCTCATCATTGATAGCCTCTTGCCAAAAATCAGCATCCAGAGATGACAAGGCTTCTTGAAGATTCATTGGATCTTCTTCTACATTATAAGCCGCATAATCAGGACCATAGTCTTTAGTGAGTCTTACTCGTTTACTTCGTCGAAGTTCTGTTTCTATATTGTCGTTGCATTCTGTGCTTCTTATCACAGGAGTGTGACTCGATTGTGTGCCCCCACTATTTCTCAATTTGAATGGAAATTTTTCTTCATAGAATTCAACGTTATTTGATTCTATGATCAATTTTGCTACTAGGTCATAAAACCTATATGCCTTACTGTTGGCTGCATACCCAATGAAAACATATTCATATGCTCTACTAGCGAGTTTAACTCATTTCAGATCCGGAATTCTGACATAAGCCAGAGAGCCCCAAGTTCTCAAATAAGACAAGTTTGGTTGTCTTTTTCTTTAATATATTGTAAGGAGAGATCTTACATTTTGACTTGGGGATTCTATTCAGGACATAGAAAATAGTCAATAAAATTTCCCCCCATCAGTGAGGTGCAGCACCAAAATTTTTCATGATTGCAACAACAAGTTCAGTAAGAGTTCTATTCTTTCTTTCTGCTTTACCATTCATTTCAGGAGAATATGGAGCAGTCATTTCATGTATAATTCCATGTTCTTTATAAAAATCATTAAATAGACCAGAGTCATATTCAGTTCCCCTATCACTACGAAGTCTCTTAATCTTCTTACTAAGTTGATTCTCAATTTTGGTTACATACAACTTAAACATATAAAGTGCTTCACTTTTATTCTTCATTAAGTATACATAAGTATAATCAGAACAATCATCAATAAAAGTGATAAAATAACGTTTATTGTTTCTAGTTAAAGTTCCATCTAATTCACATATATCAGAGTGTATAAGATCTAGGGGATCAGATTCTCTTGGAATTGATTTATGTGATGTCTTAATTATTTTAGCTTGAGTACAATATTCATATTTATTTAAATCATTGACATTTAGTTTAGGAATCAGGCCTAAGTTGCTTGCATTATACATAATTCGCTTATTAACGTGACAAAGTCTAGCATGCCAAATATTAAAATCACGCAGAAAATAAACAGAAGGACAAATTTTATTCAAATCAACATTTAACTTAAACATGCCATCAGTGGCGTACCCTTTCCCAACAAAAATACCATTCTTAGTGATGGTGTACAAATCTGCCCCTATAGTTTGACTAAACCCAACCTTATTTAAAAGGAAACCAGAAAAAAGATTCTTCCTAATTTCAGGAACGTGCATGACGTCCTTCAAGATCAAGGTCTTTCCTGAAGTGAACTTTAGCTCAACATCTCCAATTCCAGCGACATTAGTGGTGTGAGGATCTCCCAACAACACTTTCTTATCTTTAGTATTCATGTATGTCTTAAACATAGCACGATCATTACAAACATGACGATAGGCGCCAGTGTCTATCCACCAACCATCACTTCCATCAACCATGTTTATATTAGTGATCATAGCAATGAATTGCTCATCAGTCAGGTTAACCTGTGCATTTGGGCCAGTAACAAATTTAGGCCTGCTCTTACATTTCTTAGCCATATGACCCGGTTTCCCATAATTATAGAAAGTGAAAACCTGAGCATCATTTCTTTGGGGTGGTGGTTGCTGCCTAGGAATTGGAGTATATGGGGCCCTAGATAGATTCCCATTCTTAATTCGGTTCATAGTATTACGGTTCTGATTCTTTAAAGGTCTGCCCGTAGGCTTCAGAACTGCACCGAATTTATTTTTGTTGTTTGAAACAACTAAGACTTCATCTTTATGATCTTGTCTTCGAGCTTCCTCTTCAATTCGAAGGCGAGTAATCAAATTCTAGATTGAAAATTCATTAGTTTTATATCGGAGTAAGTTTTTAAAATCTTTCCAACCAGGAGGCAGCTTGTCAATTATAACAACAATCTGAAATTGTTCATTGAGGGGCATACCTTCAGTTATGATTTCATGAGCAATTTTCTGTATTTCGTGGCTTTGAGCTTCCACAGACCTTTCATCCACCATTTTGTAATTCAAGTAGCGGCTTACAGCATATTTCTTTGCACCTGCTTCTTCAGTATCATATTTCTTCTACAGAGGCTCCCATACCTGTTTAGCAGTCTTGTAATTGCTGTAGTAATCATAAAGATCATCAGCAAGACTGTTCAGAATGTGATTTTTGCATAGGTAGTCATTTTCTTACCATATGGCGATTTCTTTTAGGAGCTGTAAGTTATCGGCCGCAGCTTTAGCAGCATAGTCTAAGTCAGACGTTTTAGAAGTTCCGTCTAATTCCACAGTTGACTTACCATTACTTAGTTCGTTTGATCCAGATGGAGCAATAGGGATATCCTCAGTCAGAACATGGGCAACCTTCTTTAAAGTTAAGAAAAATTTCATCTTAGCTTGCCAATGTTTGAAATTGGAACCCTCAAACTTAAATGGTTTGTCAGAGACAGAAGCGACAATGTTAGTACCGATAATTTCCTCAGTAGCCATGGCAGTTAAAAAAACGTCTTAAAATTGTTAGACCCGGATTTGAAAAAACTGGCACAAAGGAAAACTATCGGGACGAGTCGCGTACTAGGTCGCTTTCTTTAAGACGTTTCGTCGTACTGCCAATAGTAATGCAAAGCAGCCGAGTTTCGACGACGCCTCCAGGATAAAACATCCCATTCAAAGTACGATAATTACTTGCACTGTAATTAGTCGTTTGTAAAATGACACCTTTGGATGGTAGTTGACCAGTCGTAGTATCTGGATAGATCCAATCGAAATAAACATAGAAGAGAAGTTGTAGATGAAGAGAGTAGAGAGAGTGGAATATCTCAAATGAATTGAAACAATTCAATTTATAAGAAAAAAGTCCAACTGAATGGAACAAGTCTAGTGGGAGAAAATCGTGGGAGAAGGTGGAATTGGCCCAGTCAAAGATGGTCGTTATTTTACTTGGTCAGCAAGTCACTCGGACTCTTGGAGGGAAAGAAAAAACCAGTCAATAATTAGGTTAAGACTTGGTCTTTGTGCAGGACACATCACCATTTCTTAATTAATTAATTAATAATATTAATATTAATTAATTCGGGTTCCAAAAAATTAATTCATCTAGACCGGACCGGACCGAACCGAACTGAGCCGGCCGGACGATGGCGGCGGCGCGTGCGCGTGTGTGTATAGATGACTTATGGGTGTGTCCTCACTCCTTTACAAAATTGGGGTGCCCCTTGGGGCCCAACCCAATTGACCAAGTTGGAATATATATACACTACTAATATTTATAATCCCTCCTATGTGGGACTAAAATGAATCTTTTCAAATTCACTTTCATACTAGTTCTTACTTGTGCTCATTTATTGTGCATTTAATGTTAATAAAATATTCCAACTCCCACTCCAAATTTACATCATACCAAGATTTCCAACAATCACACCTCTGTATCTCTTTAATATTTTTCGGAAGAAACACTCATCTTCAACTTCAACCTTCCTCATTCTTGAACCCGGCTGGAAATTTCTTCAATCTTTTGAAACTCCTACTTCTTCAATTCAGAAATTCACGCTTCTTTCTCAATCATTTTTACCTTTATCCTCTTCAACATTCCTTCATCTTCATCCCTTAATTCCCCTACTCTCTTCCATCTTCAACCTCCACGCTTCAACATCACCCTAACCTTCTGCTTCCACCTTCACCACCACAACTGCCTCATCATCTTCTTCTATCAGAAACCACTTTCGCAGCATACCTTCATCTTCTTCAACATTACACATCAGCGACAATTAGAACAACAACTACTACTCGATTCAAAATTAAAAAACCGAAAAACAATAAACATGTAAAAAAATGCAAAGAGGATACAAGCAGAATTATCAGGAAGAGAGGCTAAAGATTCATACCTGGAAGTTACTCTCTAGATTTTCGTTCTTCGATGTCGTCAATAAGGCACCGGACTTTCTCCGGTCGGTGAGTTCTAAGCTTCTGTATCCTTTCGCTTTTCCGTATGTTTCTTCGTGTTTTAGCATATGTTGAACATAGCTGAGTTGAATCCACAAGGTTCTAAGGTGTGATTAAGCATGAGGATGATGCAATTTAGAATGTAGGCTTTTAGATCTTCTGGTTCAGATATGATTTACGGAGGAGGAGCAAGAATTGAATGTGATGACGGTCGAACTGAGACAGTGACGAGATGTGGAGGTGTGCGTTTATGGTGGTCGGAGCGTTTTGAAGGCGAAGGAAATTTGAGCACGGAGAAGGTGGAATGTCGAGCGAATCTAGGAAGAAGAAGATAGGATTTTGCGTATTGAGAAGTTAAAACTACACGACTATCCACCCTATTTGCGGTGGACCAAACGCAGCGTTTCTCTTTCTCTGTTAATCTTTTTTTTACAATTGAAATCTTAATAATGAAATTGTGATGAGTGAATAATTGTTGATGGACTGAATTTGCTTAGGCTTGGAATCCATTTGCTACATGCATTTCCTTCAAGCCCAATACAACCTTTTTATCTTCTGAATCTTGAACAAAAGCAGACTTTGGGCATTCCTAACCAACATAAGTATAACGCCATTGTTACTAAAAATACACCTTATATCCAGTTTAGCACCCCCTCTAACTCTTTCTATTTCCTTTGGTTTTTAGATTTTTTTTTAGTTTAAATTTCTTTTCTTTTTTAGAATAAAAATAGTAATGAAATACATATAATAAAAACAATAAAAATATATAGAATTTAGGAATTCCTCTTAATTTTTTTCTTCTTTTTGATAATGAACTACAAAAATTAATAAAGTTTTTTTTAGGCTTTTTATTTGATTTTTGGGAATTAATTCCTAATTTTTCAATTAATTGAGACTTGCGATTCACCTTTGCTTGTTGAGTTAACTCTTATGCAGGTTCATTGTTTGATATGCGAACATTTTTGAGTTTCCGATTGTGATTTATTTTCACATCGATGATGCTTTGACACCTATTCTGAATATTCAATCTCTGACTGCTTGTTTGTTGGTGACAGCTCGCACGAAGTATTCCGAGTTTCTTTGCTTTGGTTGCACTTTTTGTGGAAATTATTGTTCATTTGGTATTATGTTGCTTCCAAGTTATATTTCCGTATTTATCACTTTCTAGAAACATGTGAAGTAGGAAGCAGGAAATAAAGAGCGTGCGCTCGAAGTCGTTGTTTAAAGTCTTGTAGCAGGCACCGCTTTCTGTATTCTATTTGTGTTTGTTTAAAATCCTACCTTTGAAGTAGGTATTTCACACATATATTTACATTTGTTCCCGTATTATATTACCAATGATAATTCCTCAAAAGGAGGCAAGCAGGGAGTGTCCGTAATCGACCCCCGCACATTCTAGTCTGTGTCACCCTTAGCTCACGTTGTACGTCGATGCTTCAGAGTCATGTCGATCTTGTGTATTGAGTCCGTCAAGTGGGGAAGGGTTGTGCAATCAAACCCCCACGCTTTGTCAGGAGTTCTCTTAGTCGACGCTGACACTTCGTGATCATTCATATTGTCTTATGTCGCCTACATCGATCTTTTATTTATTGGTTAGGTGTTCAGTCGCTTTGGATGTCACATATTTTATTTCATCTGTCTCCCGCTTGTTTGCTTTAGGTGATCCGCTCCCCTTAGCTTAATCATTTCTCTTGTTTCCCCTATCCTTTTGAGTCAGTGTGTGTTACTCATGATTGTGTGCTTTTTCCAAAGCACTTGTTTGCTTATTTGGTTGCTATGTGCATATTCCCTTAGGGCTGCTCGATTAGAATATATTTCAAGCTAGACATCAGGATAATTATCCATGCATGTGAACATAGGGTATACATTTCCCTTTCCATCCTTGACATAGGGCCACCATTGTTTGATAACACTAGGTTAGTCTCCCTTGGCTGATTTCTTCCCATTTTCCATAATGCATTTACAATTAAAACTTCTTTTTATTGGAAAATATGTAAAACATGTTAAAACATACAAAAATTCTTTTCATGGAAAAAATACCAACCAATTCACTTCTTTTCACCATTCGGATTTTCTATTCTAAGAACATGTTGATTCCTTTCCACTACAATGTGTGAGTCTCCAATGGTCGAGCAGCGGTGGAATGATTGAGTTTATAATTGTTCATTTAAAAAAATACAAATAAACAAAATATGTGAGCTGAACTATAGCACTCTGATTTCTTAAAAGGGAGACGTAGGCATCTGGTCACTGGGCTCAGCCGAGAGAAAATTTGTAAATATTTCCTTCTTTTCCCCGTGTTTTCTTTGCATGCATTCCCTATTAGTTTATAGATCTTAAGCATTATATCGAACACACCCTTTGATTAGAACAACAAGAGTGGATCTTGTAGAGTACTACGGACGTGTGGGGTGCTAATACCTTCCCCCCGCGTAATCGACTCCCGTACCCAATCTCTCGGTCGCAGGACCTTGATTTCCCCCTTTAGGTTTTTTCTTTGAGGATTTTCCTTTCCCTTTATATGGGATAAATAAATACTCGGTGGCGACTTCATTGATTTTACCGCTACAAGTGTGTATGGATAGATTGGAGGTTGAAGATGAAGAGAGAAATAGGCTAATTCTATGGTTTTCAACAAGTTATGAATGACGCATGGAAGTGTATTTATAGTTTTGGAACTTTTAGGGAAAAGGGGTAAATTCGAAATAAAAAGATTTAAAGAAATTAATCAAACATAATAGTATGTTTCGACCTATATATCGTATGTGTCGACACATACGTGAATTTTAAACTATATGTGTCGACCTATGAGAAGCCATGTGCCGACCGAAACAAGTCAGAAGCTACAGGATTTAAAACAATAGTAAATGTGTCGACCTGAAAAGTGGATGTGTCGACACATAAAATAAGATTTTCTGAAATTTCATAAAAGCTTTAGTATGTCTCGACCTGAATCATGCATGTGTCGGCCTAAGATTTACAGAGCCTACTGGCTTTAATAAAGGGTTACATGTGTCGACCAGAAATACAGATGTGTCGACACATGTAGTGAAAAATCATGGAAAAACTATTTTTAATGATTTGGATCAATTTCTAAGACCTCTAATGCAGAGGACAACCACAAGACATAAGGATAATATTTAATACTCAGAAGTGCAAGTTTTTCCCAATTTTGACATCATTGAAAACCTTTGACGATGAAGTTTGTACTCACATACTACCCCTTTTTGATGATGACAAAGCTTGCGACAATGCATTCCTTTGTATTTATTGAAGGCTCCCCCTGAATTTGTGCTTCCCTACTTTGACTCGCATCTGCTTCTCCCCCTTTGACAACATCAAAAAGAAAGATAGAAAATCGTGAGAAGTAACATAGTTCCATAATAATACTAATACAACAATCAAAGGCTATTTTACATATAAGAGTAACAAACACATATCCCTATATATATATATATATATATATATATATATATATATATATATATATATATATATATATATATATATATATATATATATATATATATATATATATATATATATATATATATATATATATATATATATATATATATATATATATATATATATATATATATATATATATATATATATATATATATATATATATATATATATATATATATATATATATATATATATATATATATATATATATATATATATATATATATATATATATATATATATATATATATATATATATATATATATATATATATATTGATCTGGACTGGCCAACACTTGCCCCTACGTTGGGAGGCCTAATCCAACACCTTTGCATAAGGCCCAAAGGTAAGTAGCCCAAGTTAGGGACCATTGGGAAACTCTCCACATGTCTGTTGGGGAATGTAGTCCACGTGTCTATATCATCGTCATCATCCTGCCCTCCGAGAATAACGGGTCCAGCTCTTGCTTTCTCGGGGCAGTTGAATAGGCGGGAGGCAACGTGTGGTAATCCATACACACGTAAGCCCTGACAATCTTCATTGTTGGGCCTCATAGTGGCCCAATGTTGGAGACCTTGGCCCAACACTGGGGGCTATAAATACCCTCTCACTTGAGAGGGTCAGGTATTGAATCATTCACACTCTCATACTCTCTTACTTGCATTAAGCTTTGAATGTCACTTTGGCATTAAAGTGTCTTGCAGGTACCCCCCTCCCACTTCACCTTCAACTTCTGCTCAACTCATAGCTTGTGGGCTTTAATAATCCATTCTGGTAAGGTACGATCAGTGGCGTCGTCTGTGGGAAAAATCTTCCCCATCTTTTATTTACCGAAGAATAAATCAATTATCAAACTCCGTGATTATCATGGCCAACCCAACTGCCAAAAACAACCTAAATGCCCATCCCGCCGACCTCAACAACAACGTCGGCAACGACATTGGTAACAACAATGCCGGGAACAACATCGACATAGCTGGTCTCGAGCAGAACTATAGAGACGGGATGACCGCCTCTTTATCATCCCACTTTCAGTTGCACGAGGATGCCCATCTGCCCCAGAACTATGAGCTAAATGTTTTCAAGGAGGTCCCCGTCCCCGAGGGCACTAATGTCATGCCCAGGGCTCTGTTCGCGGCCATTACCCAAACAAATTACTTAATATTATCCCAAGGTGAGTAGTTAAGGGTGCTCGAGGATACTTGTTAAGCCCCTAAAAGACACATGAGACCTGACACTCCACCTCCCCGTCAGAACAAAGACCGTCCTCAGTCTCCCCCGCAGAGACACAGATGATACAGATTACAAAGTCGTTCTCCCCGACGAACTGAGCGAGGCCACACTCCACAAAACCACTGGGAGGCGCGACCACACCCCCCACGCAGGGAACGACGATACCCTGGAAATAGGAATAGGGGAAAGGGAGAAGCACAACATCGGCCTACAAATCCTCCCCGTGACTAAGGCCGCCACCACAAACAACACTACATTTGGTCCCTCTCCCGCTCTCCTTACAGAAGCGACGAAGACGACCCCCGCGGTCCCTTATCTAGAGCCATGATGAAAGCGCCCATCCATAGGGGAATGGATAAACCTCCCCAAGTGAAGGAATACAATGGCATTGCGGATCCAGTCGAGCACATCGACAGGTTCGAGGCAATGCTCCATTACCATAAGGTTGGGGGACCAATCAAATGCAGATTGTTCCCCACGACCTTAAGAAATACTGCCATGGACTAGTACAAGAACCTATCCCCAGGGTCGATCACCTCCTGGAGAAACCTCAAGAACCAGTTCATCCGATTTTTCAGTGTCTCGTTGACATTCGAAGACTGAGGCCACCCTTGAGGCTATTGTCCAAAGAAGCGAAGAAACCCTTAGGGAGTACATTGATCGGTTCAACCGTGAGGCCATTCAGGTTCCATATACTGATCACATGAAAAGATATTTTCTCGAGAGAGGACTCCTCTCGGGCACTAAGTTCAGGAAGGCCGTCGGCATCGAACCACCCCGGACTTTT